ATATATGTGTGCCACACAATGACAATGAGGTTATGAAAGGGTAAGGAATGTAGGGTGAGTATAATAAAAGAAGACCAACAATGAACGGAAATTAGTGTATGAGAGTGAAATAATAATGGGAGAAACAGTTCAGTCAATAAAAACACGACTAGAAAGAATTCTTTCAGTTAGAGAAGTTACATTCACTTTCATGAAGAAGGTAAAAGAATGTTACAACACGATCGCCACTAGCTTCTGTTCTGAGCCATATCTGATGACATATCAAGCTACTGTGTTGCACCATATCTTGAACCCCAACCAGGGAGTCGTGAACCACCAACAAAAGCCAGTCCTGTAAAGCTTTCTTTCATACCACGATACCATGCCGTGCACTGACCACCTTTCCTCTTTTTCCAACTGGTCATTGAATCGGTAAATAATGCACGATGTTGAACTCACTCTGATGATATTCTTAAGACATGTCCAAGTCACCGAAGTCGGTGTTTCAAGATGGTGTTAGCAATTCTTCGGAGACAACGATGACCAATTACAGAGGGTGATACCAGTCTTGTAAAAGTACTTTGAACTTAGAAGGTGTAAACCACACTAACTGCCAACTGATTAAGTGCGGACTGCATGGCTTGGATATCATCTCACGGTAACACAATATCATCTACACACTCAAGGTCGAGAACGAAAACCAGCCCGTTCCTCGAGCGTCAATCTTTCCTCAGTATTGAACAATCTACAGATTATGACGTAAGCCAATAGTTTGGACGCAATCGGAAGTAGATTTATCACCCGATAGTTCATACAACAACGACGTGAAACCTTTTCAAAGATAGGAGCAACCATCGACTCATTCTATGGTGATGGGGCACTTTTTAATTGCCAGACTGTTTTAAATAATTAAGCAAGTTCCTTAACCAGAAAGTGACTACCATCTCTAGAAAAGGCTGGAGGTAGACCATATGGGCCTGGTGACCTGTGGTGCACCAAGATTCGAAGTTCCTTGCGGACTTCGCCTCGTTAGGTGGGTCAGTCATCATCGGCTATGGAGGTTAGGATAGTCTGATCGATGTTGGCAGCGAGGCACACTAGGTGCACTGTTCCTCGAAAACCTCTGCCTATCTTCAAGGACAACGACAGCTGTTAGTGATCAACATCTCGTCAACTTCATATATTGTTTCATTCACACCAGACTGCCTGCTGCCAGTGGTTCAGATGAGTTGAAAGAGCTTCCGGCAGTCACAGGATTCAGCTGCTGTCTACAACTCACTAGCACGCTCTGACTATCCGGCTTCTCAGTCCTTAAGCAAGCTTTGTCTAATTTCACGACGTAACAGTCTTCGTTTGTGGTCGACCTCGCCGTTACTTAGAGTAAACCGACAGGCTTCAATGAGTTGTAAGGAGCCTGAAGAAACCCAGTTCTTACTAGCGGGACGTCTTGAGAAGCCGTAAGCTACTTTGCTCGTCATTTTCATAGTGTCATGCAATTGCAACCAATGCTCATCTATAAATTTCGGTGGGATGGTTGCTAGCCTTGAACCTAGATCCGTTTCATATTTGGTTGTAGCAGAAGCTACAACCAATTTTTTGATATCGATCCGCTTACGACGATGAATTTGTTGGCCACTGAGAAGTAAGATAAGCGCAAACAAGGGAATGATCAGAGTCCAGATATGTACTCCAAAAGGGATGCCAGTCTTGCACACAACCCGCCAGCGGTAGGTGATTGTAATGTGATCAATCTGAGTCCAGACTTGAGGTCCAGTGGGAGGACGTCAGTTGGCACATTGACGATGACTGTTTCGGTAGTTAGTGCTAGCCAGAAACAGGTTGTATTCTGCGCACAGTTGCAGTAGACGGCCACCGTTATCTGACCTGCGATTAAAAAATCCCCATTGACCACCTAAACGACTCTCTTCTCTGGTTAGACGGCCGACCAGAGCATTGAAGTGTCTGAGTGAGAATTGATGTGAGAATAATTTTTCCAGTGGTAATCGTTATTTGATATGTTTGTGGGCTATAATATTGCCCGTGCTTCCAAACCGAAGTAGGTGGTCTTCTTAGGGCGACACGTCACAAGCCTTTGATCTATAGGTCTAATCCATAATACATTTGAGCAACGTTAAGAGATTCAGTTCCACGATAGTCTGTGACCAGGAATAGGTTCATACTTCATCTGTTCCCGCATGATCCCGGAGCATATATATACCATAGGTTTAGAATCACGGTTTCCCATCAACTTGACAAAAACACCCTACATTTACTTTTCTTACTCTCAATTTCGTAAACACTCCCGTCGCGAGCAAGCAGTGAGTAGGACTCACTGAGTCATGCGAGATTCTATAATGAGACCCAATAACTCAAAGTTGAATACTGTAACGACTAAATCCCTAATCGAGTTGTGCACATAGCTTCGTTGTTTATAACCTGGACATGTCCTATCACTTAGCTCAACGTCTTTCTGATCATCTTTAGTAAAAAGATATTACAAAACCCAGTAGCCCGTGATATATAGAATTCAGTTGTTATGTGTATTGGAATTATTGATGAGGATAACTGAAACCAAGCACTGGTTTAACAAAAAAATTTGAATTTTCAGCGAAATTCTTTTCCATCTCCCTGATTTTTAATCAGCCAGTCAAATTTAGGTGGTTCAGAAAATTGATTTCATACTTATGGCCATGAAAAGATGCTCTTGTATCATGAGATTTCCATTACGAATGTTCTTGATTGTTTTGTGTACAGTTTGTTACCTAGCAATCGATAGCTAGTATTATTCATTCTTGTTTTTTATTGATAAGATTTTAGTTATATACACTCATAAGGTTCTACTCTGCGTACTTTTCCACATGACCCATTATTTTGATTTAGTCATTAAATGGTAGCACGTGACGTCGGTAGGAAAAGTTCAAACGTATTTCTACACAAGTCGAGAAATTCTTAATGCAAAGGAATTATTTTAACCGTGCTATCGTCACGTAATTGAGTTATGAAAGCTTTTTTTGATTTTTGATTTAGAAAATAACTTGGATCGAAATTTTCGCTGTGAGAATACAAATCAGTTCTTATTACCGAATTGTTATGTTTGCGTTTTCTTTGAAATGTTTGTTCCCTAGGTAATTTTAACAGCTAGTTTGAATTGATAACTTTGTAATAATGAAATAGCATCATGAGACAGGAAACAGAAACGATTAAGTGAAATATTTTCACTTCTCGGAAATCCGGATACCACAAAATATCGCTTAGAAGCTACTGAAATGAGATATAGAATATTCGAATTTTTTGGAAGACTACAGGATCTTTTGAATCTTACTTCATAACAAAGCTATATGGAAAGTAATCTTTTTATCAAGTGACTTTGTTCATTCAGAGCTTACAAATTTCATTTGAACATGTAATCGAAAACTAATTATGATTAGTAGTTGGACGAAACAAAATATTTCGGTAAAATATGTAACCTTTCAAACAACGTTCATTGCATTTAAAATAGATATTTTTCGTAAGAAGAGCAATGGTAAACTACACTATTTTTCAAAGTGAGTAAATAAAAACCTCTGTTTGGATAGATAAAAGCCTGCATTCATTTTCACCATACATGATTGATGAAATAGAATGTAGTTTAGTTAATAGATGCTTAATTCACAATGCTACTTGTTAAACTATAATCACCTTTACGAAAACTAATGGAAAACATTTAATTAGAGAAAAACAAAAAAGTACTAGGAATAAATATCCGTTGAAAGAAAAAGAAAGAAACGTAATCACTATTAAGCACAGTTTACTAAAAAAAATGTGTATTTTGTATAAATTTTGTTTTTATATTTAATATAAAACAGACATCTAATATGAATAAGGAATGTCATCTTATTAAAGAGCCGACTATTGTTATTTCTAGATAGTTTACTAGTAATTAATTAAAATAGAAAAAATAATATGATGATTGAGTGAAATAATTTAGACACTTTTCTTGGTATGTTTATATTTATTCAAACTTGACAAAAATTCACCATTTTTTTTTCTTTTGGTATTTCACTCAAGTAATCAGTTCATAGTAAACTTAAAAATTCTTTAGTTTAATTTAACTCACTAATTATAAAAAGTGATACAAATTCATCTTTAAGATTAATTAGTCTTGAAACGTAAAATAATACACCATTCAAAATTACTCTATCATCCTAAGTAAGCAGAGAAATCAAGGAAGATAATAGAAAAAATCTCACTGATAGAAAGAAAAAAACGACATTCCGAACTTTCTAATTATGGAGATGTGATCAATGTGGTCTGATGTATTTCGAGTTGGTGAAACACATATACCTTCGTGTATGTGTTTTGGAGGAGAATAGTTTTACAATGTTGTTGAAAACATACTTATTTTCTAGTCTCGCTTTGTCCTTGTTCCTTTCTCCCAGTACATGTATCCCTATAATGTCTTCATACCCTGTGTTGTCCATCCGACTCTGATGTTTAGGTCTTCCATCGTGACATTCAGCTCCTTTCCCTGAGCATTTCTCTACGATCGACTGCAGCCTCCCACAAAACTGATCTTTATCGTCTCCACTGATATGATTGGTGGGTGTGCAGCATTGTATGGCATTCGTTGTTGGCCATTCTCTCTTTGTTCTGAGGGATGCTTTGATGGTCGTTAAGTTATGAGTGCTTTCTTTGCTTCTCTGGACAGTATCAGTGTACCTCTCATGTATGTATGCGTGGTATTTTCGTCCCGATGACCGAAATACAATAGCGAGTCTTCTGAAGTTAGTTTTTTCTGTCCAAAATATGTTCAGTTAGTTTCACGTGTTCTGTATGTTTTCATTTCTGCGGCCATGAGAATGATCCTCATGGCCTCCCATATTGTTTGGACATTCCACGTCTGTATGTTCATTTTTTCTGTTTTTCAGGAAAGTGTTGCCTTTAGATCTTTTGAAGGCTCCTAGCTTTTACCATGAAGATTCTCCCAGTAACGGGGTAGATTGTAAATATTTTATTTGATGTACTGTGATTATCATTTTTTTAGTAGGGTAACTTAGCTTTCTCTACATCTGATTATGATTGGGAAAGTTAGTAGAATTCGGTTTGATGACTGCTTATTCCCAGGACTATTCGACGAGTACTCTAATAGTCACAAACGGACTAGCACTTAAGTCAGAGTAAGCAATGAAGACATTTGGATGTACTTTGTTTTGTAATTTCAATTACGCGCGCGATGAAGTTCAAAGAACTTATTAATTAGTACAAGCACCACATCAACCCTCCTTTTATACGCGGGTTTTGGACAAGCAGTGACAGTGGATGGGCAGCAAGCAGAGTGTGATCAGTCAACCCTCGAGTATTTTAAAGGTTTCCAAACACACTGATTATGATTATTCAGTAAGAATAATACATTCCTCAAATTTCCCAGTCTTGTAGACTTCTCGCTCATTTTGTGATATCATCATATTCGATTTATTTGTTTCTAACTCGTAGATTTCCACTTGATGCGTTGCTTGTGCAGTGTGTTAACTTAAGCGACTGCATAACGGTAATAATGTCCCACTATTTCTAAAGGTGCTCCCCTTACGGTTCACAGAGATTTGGTTACACAAAGTTCTTAAGTATCAGCTGATTTTTCCAAAACAAGAGTTAGTATACGTTAGTCCTGAATCAAATATTTCCTATAGTACGTAGCGAAAATCATCAAATGCTCGGTCATTAGATTAAATTAACAGTACAAAAATTCTTTGCAGTTTATTCTTCAAAGACACATTATTGTGTTTATCATCTCATAATCTTCACCTGCACAACAGATTAGGAAACTATGGTTGGGAGTAGACATTGATCTTAAAATATGGGGATGTTATTGTACAAAATGGACTCAGATAAAGTGTAGCTACATTTGTTCATTGGATGGAGGTTTCTGAAAAACTATATATCTGGATCGAGAATACATATGTCTAAAATCAGTTCAGGTTAATGGACTACGGATCCTCACATAATTTGATGGCAGATTCCACTGAGATTCAATAATAGTCTGACTACCCATGAAAGTCGAAATGTCAGTTATTTTCGGGAATGTATAACAAACTGAAAAAAAAGTAAAACGATAAAGCGGTTCAGTAAAGTGCACATTGAACATTTTTCTAATATGTGTACTATAGATAATACAATGGGCTGACGCTAAGTAAAGGAATAAATTATCTCCATGAGATATAAGCAAAGTAGGGGCATGTATTAGATTCTAGTCTATAGAGATCAGGGTTCCATCTTGATTAATTAATGAACCTTATCTTCACATTCATAGAGATAATAATAAATGTCATTACTTTGCAGAACATATCAGCTGATACATACGTAAATACACACCCACAATTTTATACACTGATTATTTAGTAAAGAAATTAAGCGTACTTGTTCTCACATACGAACAAACCTAGAAGTGGTAAGATATGGGTGTTAGAAAGTTATTGGTGGTAGGAACTGATCTAATATGAAACTAATTTCAATTGAGAGCTGATGTAATTGGTGGATTAGTAAGAAACGAAACGCTGAACATCTGTATCATCAGTTTCCAACTAATTAACACTGAAGTGTTCACTCTTTTAGTTTGAACAAAAAGTAAGCCGCATGAAATTAATGAATCACTGAATTATATTGATAATTTTGTAACATAGTAAATACGCAGTTTAATGCGACTACTCTCCATTGATACTATCAATTACGTGTAAATTACAGCTTGGACATAACTATAGAGAATTCGATTTCTAAAACGATCGATGGTAATGATTTCTAGGACTTCAGATAGTGATTCTCCAAACAACTTCATTAATAGATGAAATACTGTTAATCATTATCATTTTAACCTTTCCATTTACCAATGATATTGTGTTGTATTTTAATTTAAACTGAGAAACTATTAAGTAGAGTGAACAACTACCCCACCCCACTTGTTCATAGACAATTGCCTTAATTTCCCTATGATATGGAAGTTCTCTTACGCAGCTTGTTTGTGGTTCCGATCAGTCTTGAAATGAGACTTACGATGATGTCCAGACCAGTAAAAGAAGGCTGAGACGTCGCTCTGCAGCACTGACTATTGATTTGAAACGAAACGGATACCAGACTTAAAAAACTCCGTGACTTACTGACCCCGACCAACTGCGTAACTCCTCAGTGGTAAACGCCCCCAAAACATTTCCTGGGGAAACATATTGTAGACCAACTGCCTTAAACTGTAACCTATAAGGTGTTTTGAAACCAATTTTCCTAGTTAACATGTAACACAATGCCAAACAAAACCGTACGATCCGGAAAACTGAGGACATCCTCACGACACAATTGGCCACTGGAAACGAAAGTCCGCAAAACACGAGTTCTGCATCTCCTGTAACATTCACCTTGCAACACAGTTGGTAAAATAAGACGACGCCAACCGAAGATAAATGATTTAGACCACTATATCACAACCTCCACCTGAAAGACCCATGTGGTGTGAATCACCCTCAAGCAGGTCCGCGTGCACTCGAACCACACAAAGGTTGCCTCCTATCTCCTATATTCTTTAACTCGGATGTTGGCAAATATACGGTAGGTGTAATTGTTTCACTAGACTTGATCTCGTTTAGCCACTCACCACTTTGAATAGTGGAATACCGTCTCAGTGTTTACGATATTTATGGATCTAGGGTCTCACCAACCAATTCTCCTATACGCAAATAATTTAGTACAGGTTGTACATTACTTATTTACCCAGATCATAAGAGAGCCGCTTTTGGATGCCAGGATAATGTTGTAATGGGAAATAAGTGTCGACACCTAGCGTAGAGACTAGAGGTTCCAACTTCGCATAAATACTTGTCATGCATTATTATGTCGACAAACTCGAAAGAGGCCTGAGGGAACTAGTAGAACACTTTTACCTGGATTACGATAGATGAAGCCAATTTACGAGATATACAAAGCTGGTGAATATATTCATAGTATTGACAAATGTGAACCAAGTAGCGGGAAAAACTGGGTGACTTCAATATCGCGGTAATTGGTCACCATACACAATTTTTAGCTCCTAACTATCCCATTTTTCTATCTCTGAAAAACGACTGTACGAGATAGGGTAGTAGATACAGACAGTGAGTATTCTTGTTGTAGTTTTGAAACGAAATGAGACCAATCATATTAGACTACAACTCCATACATCATTAGCACATGTGATCACGAGGCGCTGCACATACTCATGCCTGATACCAGTAAGGAATTACGGGAACAAATCATGGGTGGATTTGATAGTAGCAATGGAAGCACGATTTGGAGGCATATCTAAAATATACCTGTAGTAAGGTAGAAGCAACCCAACGTAAGACGATTTCGACTAGAATGAAAACAACAAGTTTTGTAGCAAAGGTGTTGATTTAATAATCCAATTATAACAAAATACAGTTCCCTTATTCAGGTAGTGGCGATAGTTTAGCGATTTAAAATTTTGGTAAATATATGAAACCAATTCATGAAAACAAGCAAGCTAATGATAATGCATAAGAACTTTCAAAATATTGAAGTATCAAAAATTTTTACAGACGAAACACACTCCATCGGATTTTAGAAAGGAAGCTATAGCACTTAAGTTACAATCTAGTAAACATTCATTTTTTTAAAACATGGAAAATGGTGATCTGAGAAAACACAAACACCTGTGCTATAAGTTGGTGGTAGCAGCACCAAACCTTAAATCGAATTAGATAAACCCTACAGACAAAAATGAATAGTCCAAAAATGGAAACAAGCAAAGGTTAATACATGGGCATTATTTATTGGTGTATCAATCAAATACATCAGAAGAACGATGTATTGCATCGTACGCAAAGTTAATTAGTAATTATATTTCTTGTAATAATCGCAAATACAGCTCATTGCATGGTTTCCTGGATTGCAATTATTTAGAATATCGTCGACAGTCTGTCCAACCAAGCAAACTGAAAATAAAATGTTTAGAACAATAAATGCATTAGTAATCACTGTATGAATGCATTTGAGAAGTATGCAGCAAGAAGTCAGAATAGGATAGTATTCCTGATGAGCAATACTTGAGTTGTTTAGCAAAAGACTAACCAAAAAATTTACAGAAATATCCCTCACAAAATGGGTGCAGGATACGGCCAATTTACAAACCTGTAACAACCTTCATTTTGATTGAGAACGAACGCAGATCGAATGAACACTGAAGAGAGATGACTGAATAGACAATACTCACGGAATCCATCCTGTTGATTTTATCCACTTTGACTTTTTGAGTCCTCAAATCGCAACTGAATGAACATCAAAAGACAGAACCGCTGGCCGACTGAATTATTTGAGTAAATAAAACAGTCACTTATATGCAAATATTGTAAAATAAAATAAAAATGAATAAAATATTTGTTTGCACAATTAATGGTAGGATGTAATTACTGGACAATGATCGGGTGGCGCGCTAACTAAACGAAATGTAGATAGGGTCTATCGTACCTTTAGCAAAACTAATTTCTATTAAATGCTACGACTAAATAACCCGAATGATGTAGTTGTTTTTTTCATTGGAAGTTTGCTCTTAACCCATTTCATATTATCATAAAAATATGATCGACTTTACATGATTGAGTTCCACATAACCTCCGTGCTAGGGCAGCGCAACTGAAGTCATACTGTACCTCAACTAATTGTCAATAGACAGAAGTTTGGCACTACTGATGCAAAGTGGTTCTCATACGACACCAGTCTTCTTCGCTTATCCCATACCAAACAGAAGGCTTGCCAGTACTTTGGAATGATAAGACATAAATAGAGACACTTTGAATAGCGAGACTGATATTAACTGTTTCGTATCACTGGTTAAATTCAGTCCAAACTGTCATATGTTGTACACCAATACGATCCCAAAATGAAATGGGACACATATTTGCTCATAATCGGGAAACTAATTAAAGCACGTTACTACTTGCACAAGGTCGTCCATTCACTATATACAGTTACAGATTACGGCACACATCTACGTTAGAAAACATTGAGATTATTACAAATAATTACAATAAAAAACCGAGGTCCAACAACAAGGTTTACAGATGAGCAAACCGCATACTAATGGCTTAGCATAAAATATACTTTTCAATCAAATTGCGAATGTTCTGACGCGAGTTTTCCTTGGAAACGCTTAGTTAAACTAGAATAAAAGTACTTCAACAAAGTTCATTTATACCTCAAAATATGGTCCGACATTAGCCAAGAAGTATTGTGCTTACGTTTACCCAGTGAGTGGTTGAAACACTAAACATTTAGTCGCTGTGAAGCATATCAAAAAACCCCGTTCCATATGGTTTCAAAATCTAGCAGTATGATTCTTCACAAAATGATTCTAAGTACAGTACATTAACCTTTACTTGGAAAATGTTACATTACTTTATCGACATATAAGTGAATCATTTTGTCATTTACCAAGAATTATCATAAAATGGCGTTTAATCAGATAACTAATCATCATCTTGACCTATTGGTCAACAAAAATAAAACATAAAATGTTCAAGTAACATAAATGTACATGGAATGAGACTAACGTTTTGGTGTGATATGGAATAAAATTGACTTCTTGAGACATCTGCTGATAAAACTAGTCTGATCGCGTCTTATGATGATGTACTTTTCATTCATGAACGTAAAAGAGGTGTCTTTTTCATCAGTAAGTAATGATTTGAGCTGAAGTACAAACTCGGGAGATAGCTGAAGAACAGAAAACCGATTAAGAGAAGTTATTAAGTAACAGCTCATACTAATACAAATGAAATAACAAGTACAAACCATTGAATAAAACATCTTAAGATACATGGTTTTCGACTAGGTTCATGTAACATAAACGTCAAATATGCCCACTGAACATAAGTTACATTTAACCAAAATTATAGTTACAAATATTCTTGACTCAAATCATTCAATAGTGTAAATTGATACGGGGTTTTGGATTCTTGGACCTTATAGCTTAGCTCACTTTAATTTTACCACACCAAAACACAATAGATCTATTGATTTACTGAATAAAGGCATTATTGGGCCAACATACAGCTTCAAAGTCAGCAAGTACGAGCCCTCCTTTAGAACGTAGTGACACGTGGTGCAATGAAGCGACTTTACACAAACTACAGAAGACGGAATAAAATAAACATAGTAACACATACTAAGCACGGAAATTCTTACCCAAGTATCGTGCCTAACCAAGATACCTTCTTCGAGATTTCATCAGAAGAGGGTTCGCCGTAAACCTGGACGAACAGTCAGACTACACAAAACACATCAGTTGTTAGGTTTTGTATCGGCAACAACGCTTAAAGAGTAGTCTTGACTAGTTATCGGCTCCTGAACGAATTGCAAACCTTCCTGAAATTTACATGACTGAAAGTTACAAACAGGCATTACGGTTCGTCTAGATCGGAGCTCCTCGAAATATCTAATGAACGCAATCTAGGGACTTGTAGACATGAATAGATTATCTGGCCCCATACTAAGTGAGGACGTGCCGACGTTGACAAGATAGTCCGAGCACTGTGATCAAAACACTGAATCCTTAGTAAAATCCCTATCTGATATAACAATCTTTTGTGAAAGATTATTGGGAATTTCCTCAGATAATCCTTCGATGAAACATTAATTTGCTGTTATTAGCTTGAGTTTGAACGAAATCCGAGGATTTACTAAATTTACAGTGACTGAATTCAGAGTACAAAGTAAGGTCTACGACGAACAGATTGATGGGTGCATGATAATAACTGTAAATGAGGACTGGTGCATGGAATGAGACCATACTAATATCGAAAATTCTAATCGTTAATTAGATGGGTCGCCACTATTATTGTCGACCGATGTTTGTTTAAGAATTATTTTTATAAACTCAATCTTTCAGTGGTGTAAGCAGTGTCGACATTCTACTTGAGAAAAAAAAAGGTGGACTTACTTGGAAATCAGGACTAGATGAGCCGTAGGGAGTTCCCTGATGGTCCGTTATATGTAAATGTTTCAAGCTTTTGTGTTCATCTACATGGTTTTCACACCGTTTTTTCCATTCTTCGGACATTGTTCAGATAAAATAATGAGACAACCGACAGAAATCACAACGCCAACAAGCAAAAATAACAGGTCACTCGAAGTGGAAATCTTGTCAATAGCCTTGAGATCGGAGAATACTATATGTAGAAGCGTATCGCGCCCACACATTTATTTCATCAAATCAAAATCTTATTTGTATTAGCTGTGGCCTTTGCGGCAAGCTGATTGGTGTTTACGATAACTGCACAGACAGGCCTGAAATTTAACCAATTATCTCTATGCCCAATCTGCACATTATTTTATTCGAGAGATTGTTTGGTCAATAAACTAACGGCCTAAAAATAGTCTGTAGACTTTAATACTGCTTGCTGTATTTCTGTAGTGGCTGTTATCTAAAGTTCTATTTACTGGATGAAGTAAGGACTCGTTTTGGAAGCATAGGGGCATGGGGTTTAGCACCACTTAAAATACCAATGTGTTCTAGAGACGAGTACACGATATAACATACTTTGTGCTGCCTTTCCACAAGTTTTTTTATTGTAGTAAGCGCTTGAAGAAATTGTTTATTCAATCGTTATTAGGTTCTGATGAAAATATTATAAATATGTATTTGGTAAGTTTACTGCTTGTCGTGCGGTTTAATTAGTCTATACGCCTCCTCTTGTGTCCATTTTAAGTGCTATGAGCTTGAATCAAGCATTTATGCCAAGGGAAAAGAATAATTAGGTTGTTCTTGAAAGTTAGTTTAGGTTTTCGGATAGGTCACATCAGTGTTGCGTGACCAGTCACTTAAATATGGCTATCAGAAAATAAGTCAAAAAGTGGATGAAATTTCTGACGAGTTCCAGTGGCAAAGCCAGCCTTTCTTAAGGTGTTTTTGTGAGCCTCCTTCTAAAGGGATGGTATTACCCCAGGTATTCGCTTCACTAGTCAATTTGTAAACGTACAGTTGAGCTCTGTAGATTATGCTTAGACTTCATTACTTTGATGTGAGCTCTAGATTCTAGTCTTATCCTAGGAATTAGGGTATTTGTCTCAAAGTCACTTGGGCCTTGCTCAACGGTCGTTCATAAATTATAGTCTTCTAGTACCTAATCCTAACCTTTCTACATTTTATCTAATATCAGTTTGTGATGAAAACTCAATTGGGAGAGTAACTTAACTCACACTATCCCGACACTTGGTATATATGTAGACTAAAACTTTTCTTTTCTGCAAGGGATATTTTTACATGTAATCAATTATTCAGACCAAAAGTGTTATTTCATTGCTCCGTGTTATTAATTGTTAAATAATCAGACAGCGTTTACAGACTCGCAGACAAATCGCTTAAGATCAGCGTAGTTTGCTCTTTTAGCGGTAAATAAATTCCCAAAATAAATAGCTCTGTAAGTTTTCGACATTGGATGCTGACCACATCAGTTTTAATGAACTCACCTAGCTGTAGGCGCTCGGTCATGCATCCGCACCAGATCACGAGTGGGGACGCCGTGCTCAACATCCCCTGCAATCGCTAGCCAGATTAGATCAGACGATCCTCGATATATTGAGTCTATCAAATATCTTCGAACCTCCTCGCTTCTGACATTTGATTTCACTTGGTGGTTACGCTTCATATTAGGTGTAACTGGTTAAAGCGTTGTCAAACTCCGAATACCTGTGCCATCTTTACTTATACCGGAATTATATAATTCGGATATTGTGAGAAATAATCATTTGTTAGATAACCCTGTGCCTCAGGGAGGGAAGCTGATTGATACTCTTTAGCTCATATATAGTTATAGGTTGTTAAAATGACAAACTAGACGATGGTTTTCAGTAGAACAATTCACTCACCCACAACCGTCCTCTCATATTTGCATCTATCCTAATTTTTGACCTCATGAACCTGAGCGGAATAGGAGATCGAACGTACTCTGGAGTTCAGCATCCGCGAATGTAGGCGAGAGATATGATACCTTAGTTGCTGCACAAAACCAGTATCACAATAATAGATACGTAAGAAATACAGTATATTACCCCACAAGATTTTGATAAGAAGATCATTTATTTCAGATGTGTATTCACTGAAATAAAATATTTCTACTGTTTGGCTGAATTTAACTTACTGCTTGAGACAGAAATAAGTAAGACTTCAGATGATGGCTTAGCTACCCATCAGGAACAAAATCTACGAACTGATCAACAGATTTATTAAAGATACTTTGAGTTATATCAGGTTTGCTTATCAAGTCAATGGTCAGGTCTGAATACATTGAACTGTTCAGTATTTGGGGAAAAAAATTAGTCAATAACTTTATTCATGTAGACAATTCAAATCACCTATAGATTAACTGCTTTAAAAAATAAATATGACTAAAATACTGGGATACATATTTGCTCCTTCTGAACAGAAAAGCCTCGTAGTCTGTCTACATCTGATAAGTAATAGGTTCTCCTAGCTTAGACCTTTATTTTTTTTACCAGAATAAAGTCGTTTTCAGTTCCATTCTTAGGGTTATTACTTCTCGTGGAGGAATATAGGTCGCACACCAGCACTCTCCACCCAACCCTGTCCTGGGAAATCCTTTCATACTATTTTTGTTGTTATTCATCCTTTTCATATTTGCTTCTATCTCTCGACGTAATGTGTTCTTTGACCTTCCTCTTTTCCTTGTCCCTTCAGGATTGCAAGTGAGGGCATGTCTCGTGATGCAGTTTAATGATTTCCGTAATGTATGTCCTATCAATTTCCATCGTCTCTTCCTAATTTCCACCTCAGCTGGTTTGTCCTCTCTCACAAAAAGCTGTTGCTGATGGTATCCGGCCAATTGATTTTAAATATCTTGCGTAGATAGCTATTTATAAAAACTTGCACCTTCTTGATGATGGTTGTAGTAGTTCTCAAAGTTTCAGTTTTTTTATGTACAATAGAAATGTCGGATGGTGTGTATGAATGTCATTGTATCATATAGTCATTAACGCCTTGATTGATTCATGTGACGACGAAATTAAGTTACTGTAAGCAGAATATGGAAGACAACAGATCGTCAGTAAAGGACTTTAATTTAGTATTCACATCCACAGTTCATTACGTCTTCCTCAATTAACACCCGTTTGAATTGACAATATTCAGTGTTAAAAAGGGTAATAAGTCAGTAAATAGTTGATTGAGTGTTGAAATTGTATCGGGTTAACGGAATATTATCATGAATAATTAGTCCATTTTACTGTAAAAATATTTAAACTCTTGAGAATAAATTTGAGTTACTGTAAGGTCGTAGGAAGATATCACTGCGTTACTTGTGAGATGGTTTGTCACATGACCAAAGAAGTTTAAGTAGATTACAATTTCGTTTCCTTTACAATACCACTGGTTGGTTTGTGACCGTCACTACGTCTACTAATTTGCTGTCTAGCACGTGGTGGGACTACAATTGGTTGTCTTATGGCTGTTGATCAATATCACGTGACAAAATCACCAATCGGAATCCCGACTCCTATGATTCTGTACATCTGAGCTCACGATTTACAAGCTCAACTAGTACTAGTAACCTAGACTCAATTACTAAGCTCCTATTAATCTACGATCTCGTAATTCTCCTTCTGCCTTGCCCTCGAGTCCAAAAATTCAGTAGTCAATCTCCACTAAATTGTGTTTAAGGCAGACGTAGTTTATATACATGCAAGCAAGACCACGTCACACCATAAAAATAACAACTATACAAGAATAAGCTAGAAAGTGACAGTGAGTAGCGGAGACTAAATAACAATGCACAGTTAGGATAGCAAATACTTTTGTTTTGTTGTAGGTTGTGGCATAATCAAGGATTAAGCTTGTTCACTAACATCTAATAAATTAAACAATGGAACCCGTGCAACTAAATTAAATTACTGGCATACAAATGATGTTTAATGTTCTATTTACTTGTAAATACATAAGGTATATCAGGTGGTGTTTGGTGAATGTTACTACTCGTCAATAAGTTCTCTCAATAATCACAATCAGATTGTTTCCTTAGGGAACCCGGGATTTGTCAGTTTATTCAGCAATCAGAAAAGTTGCTTGGATCATGACCAGTCTTTTATAGGATTTGGTCAATTATATTAATATAGGAATTGCAGAGACAACGAATATGAAAGAATATTTTAGGATGTCAGTCACTTTTCAGTTTATTTACTCTCACGTCATAACAAGGTACGACAAATTCTATTGGTTGAAATCCGTCTTTTGCAATAATTAAGATTGCGCCAAGGTACCAAGGGGATATTGTAGTTATTACAAAAGTAAGAATACGAAACTTGTTTGTTATGTTTTAAGGTCTCAGACCTCCGACTCACTGGCATTTTATGATGAAAGTAATACTTTTAGTGTTATATATGTCATATGGGAATGAATGAGATCACAGCAATCAGAACTTCTATACGGTTTTTCCATTATTTTAGAGACACTAGTAAGGAAGCCTATATCTCCCTCTGGTTTATAATATATAGTCATCAATAAATTAAGTTTTATTATAGATCTAACTACCCTTACGTTATTTGATTAATTACTCGTCAAGTAATCTTAAACTTAGAAGGGTGATAGACTGGAAAGAGGCTAAGTATAGCAAAACCTAGACTTAACACTAATTTATGAGGTCACTGACTTTGCAATTGATAAATGGGGAAGTGTAGTTTTTCTTCCTAGTTTTAAAAACGTCAGAAATTAGTAGTCGTAAATGCTTGGGGATTTCGATTTTTCAATTCGAATCAACTCGTACTGTCTGATTCTTCTTCCTATTTAATTCAGTTTCCCATCAAAGTCAGATATATGAAATGAAATAATATGCAAGTTTATCATGTTTTCTCCAAACGTGTTTGAGTGTTTAGAAGAAGTTATCACCTAGATTTCAAAGTTAGCAAGGAAAACATCCAACGAATTTAGATTCCCTACAATTTTTACTCTTTGAATAATTTTACGTAAATTATGAAGTGAAATACGGGATGGTGAAAAATTTGTGTTTTGTAAGAGATATATTTCTATTTACAAGTGTAATAATTTGTGCACCAGATGTTTGAAAATATGCTAGCGAAAAACTTGCTTCACTGTAAATTCTGATTAAAATGGACACTTCTGCCAGAAAAAAATATTAGGAGTGAAAGTTTCTTGATATAAAGGATTGATTGATCGGTAAACCGGATA